CCCAGAGAGACAGAGAAAGAGAAGGAAAGTGTGAAATCAAGCCACAATGTCTGGGATTCAAACCATGATCAGTCATGTGGGAATCCAGCACCTTTGATCACCACAACACCTGCTGGTCCTGGCATTTAAGATTACTTATAATCCAGTTTTTTGGAGCCAGCAGATGGCATAGTGGCTACATCACTGAACTCCCACATGGCTGACTGTGGCCAAGTCCCAGACCTGGTGGCTTGAAACACACCGGTCACGTGTGCGTGTGTGTGTGTGTGTGTGTGTGTGTGTGTGTGTGCTCAAGATCCTGGGAGGATAACGGAGGAGAAGGGGTTGTGTGCTGTGTGGCCATACCGCCGTGAGCTGATATCTCACTTTCCTTCTCACTGTCTCTGTCTCTCTCTCTGGCAAGGGCACACACCCTAAGGCAAAAACCTTGGGACCAGCAGTTAGCGTAATGGCTATGTTGCTGGACTACCATGTAGTGGACCACGGTTTGTGTCCCGGACCCAGTGGCTTAAAACTCACGCCGGGTGCGTGTGCGTGCGTGAGTGCCCAAGATCTCGAGAGGAGAATGGAGGAGAAGGGATTACGGTGTGGCCATCCCCCCTGGGGGGTGATTTCTCACTGTCTCTCTGTTTCTCCCTGTCTGTCTGGCGACTGCACATGCCCTATAGCAAAAATAAATGAATAAATAAAAATAAAAAAATAAAAAATCCTCTCCACAGTTCAAGTTCCAGACCTGGTGGCTTGCTTTCTCTCTCTCTCTCTCTCCCCCCGCCTGCTCTGGCCAAATTAAAATAAATAAAGTTAGATAAAATAATTCTTTTAAAAAAATATTATTGATGAAGAACACTCATAAAAATGAGGAGCTATACTATATAAATACTCAATTATAAAGATATTAATTATACACAAATTATATATAAATTCAATGTCCAAGAAATAAAAGCACTGCAGGACTTTTTGGGAAATGTAGTAAAATTGATTATAAGATTCATAGGCAAGGATAAAAAGATGCACAGACAGGTAGGAAATTATTTTACGTTTTAATTTATTTCATGAGACAGAGGGGGTACCCACTACAGGGTCTTTCTTGCCTTGCTGTGGTCCTCAGCCTTTCAATTAGTCAGAATTGCAGCACAAACATGCCTAGTGAGCTTCATGTCCACTTTGGATCTGAAACTGCAGTCTGCCACCTGGCTTCCGGTACTGATCTGCAGATCAGTATGCTACCACCTGTACCACTGAGGCTGGCTGATGTGAAAAAATGTAAAAACAAGGACAAAGAAGTGAAATTCAATCTATAGTTTTCTAAACATTTCCACATTTAATTATATAATACCATTTTTAAAAATTATCAGAGGACACATACTCTCACCAGAGAGAGAAAGAGAAAGAAAGCACCCCACAGTTAGGCATGGTCATACCACTATCACACACAATTTTTTCTCCATTTCTCCATCCCATCAGCATTTGGGGCATGCATTCATGCATGCCTGGCATGATTTTCAAGCTACTGGGATCCAAATTTGAACTGTAGTTGGCCATGTGAAATCCAGTTCCATATGCACAGTGCTTAACCACTGCACAATGGGGCCAGCCCCATATAACCAAATGTATTTGTTAAAAACAGTGTATTATTGGCAGAGGAGTGGATAAAGAGGTAAGTGAAATGGGAAAAAGGAAGTGCCCAGAAACAAACCCATACATGAAAAACAAGTTGGTACATCATAGGTCAATGGTAGAAAGGTTGAATTGTTTGACAAATGACTTACACCAATTAATAGCCATTTCTACAGAAAAAATGAAAATTAGATGCACAAAAAAAAAAAAGTTCCAGATGGTAGAAGGACTGAAAGATGATAAACCTCCAAAACTATTATGAAAGGCTTCCTTATATAAGATAATATGTGCAAAACAAAAGAAAAGCTAAGTATCTGACCTCATCAAAATTTAAAACTTCAGGCCTCACCACAGTGGCACATAGATAGTGCTACAGATTGGGAGGCCAGAAGCCACATGGGTGGCCTGGGTTTGATTCTTGGTCAACCTGGACATTCTGGGTGTGATTTTGTGTGCTTATACTCCTAGCTAATTGGGAGGAACGTGACACAGTGAGATACCCTGTATATCTCTGTCTCCCTCTTTCTCCCATCTCTCCCTTTCCTTTCATCATACTGGAAAAATACTTAAACTTCAACATAGTAAAATACAGTAAAAGATATAATGATGAAGGTAGTCAAGAGACATACTGGAACAAAATATTTGCAACATATATACAAAAGAGTACATCCAGAAAAATAGGGTAATATGAATCAAGAAAATGTTAAACAATCTAGTAGGAAAAAATGTATTAGGTAATTAACAGAAGAGGGTATATTATGGCCCAAGACATATAAGATGAAGCTCAACATCAATAGTAACCAAGGAAAAACAAAGAGAACACATTTCTTGTTTACAAGGCTGTCAAAAATTAAGTCTGATAATCTTTATTGGTGAAGGTCGGGGAAAACAGTACTCTCACTCAGTGCTGGTGAGAGTTGATTGCGGCAGGCAAAATATCCAACCTACATCTAGTAAGCCTTGCTTCCTTTCAGAGTTCATACTTCTTTTTCTAAGAATTATTTTTATTTTATTTAACTTTATTTATTTATTTAAATTTGAACAGAGAGGGACAGAGTGTGAAAGAGAGAGAGAGAAAGTGAGAAAGCAAGCCACCACGTCCAGGACTCAAACCATGGTTGGCCATGGGAGAGTCCATCACCCTTAACCACCACACCACCTGCCGGCCCCAAGAGTTCATATTTTTCTACAGCATTCTCCAACACTGAATCAGGGCTAGCCTGATAGGATAGAATTTAGAAGCAATAGACTTAGGAGACTAGGTCATAAAAGGAATTGTAGCTTCTACCTTGTTCTCTTGATTCCTTTAGGGGGAAACAAACAATGCCATGAGAATTCTCGAGCAGCCCATATGGAGAGGAGCTGAGGCCTCCTATCAAGAGCTAGTGCCAATTAACCAGCCAGGTGAGTGAGCCACTTTTAAAGAGCATCTTCCAGTCTCATCAAGCCTTCAGATGACTGTAGCCTCAGCCAACTTCATTGATGATCTTGAACCAGAACTACACAACCAATTGTTTCCAAATTTCTTATGCATATAAACTGTGAAATAAATTATTATTGTTGTTTGAAATTTCAAAATTTTGTAGTAATTTGCTAGTCAGCATTAGAAAACTAATAGATTAGTACAGTTGTATTGGAACTCAAATTAGTGGCATTTAGTAAAACTGAAAGTGTTTATATCCTATAATTAGTAATTTCATTCCAGCTATATACCTGACAAAAATCCTAGAATATATGCATAAGGATATACAGAGGAAGATATTAATTGAAGCACTGAATATTCATTTAGCTACTGTTTGTAATAATAATTAAAAAAACCCCAGAGACCTCAATGTTCATCATTAATTAAATAAATACATAAGTAACAGCTAACATTTATTGAGTAATTACCATGTGCTGGTTATTATTTTATGCAATTCATATATATTAATTATAAAACAATTTTATTAGGTAAGTATTTTAAGAGTTATTTGATTTAACTTTATTTATTTTAATTTGATCAGATAGGGACAGTGCGAGAGAGAAAATGAGAGAGAGGGAAAGTGAGAGAGCAAGCCACCAGATCCAGGACTCAAACCATGGTCAGCCATGTGGGAGTCCAGTGTTCTTAACAACTATGCCATGTGGACACCAATGCACTAGCACCTGCCATGAGTTTCAAGTCACCAGGTCCAGGACTTGACCATAGTTGGCTGTGTGGGATTCCAGGGCCCCAACCACCACAATTTGCTGGACACTCCCACATGGCCAACCAGGTTGGAGTCCCAGACCTGGTGGCTTAACTTCTCATTCCCCCACCTCATCTCTCTCTATGTGTGTCCCTGTCAAATAATAAATGAAAGAATAAATAAATAATTCTTTAAAAAACATATTGAGTACCTACTATATTGAATAGGCACTTGGTTTGAATTATTTCCAATTCTTATTAGCTACATGTAGAGATAGATTACCAGCTCCCTTTACAAATGATTTAACTGAGTCATAGCATCATACAAGTACCAAGTGTGATTCACACTCTATTCTGACTCTGTAGCCTCTGCTCTTTAATCCTGAGATAACAGCAAAACCAAACCACTCTGGCTCCAGTCTGTCTCCAACCATTTACTCTCTTATTCTTAGTACTACACTCTAGAACTCATTCATTTTGAAGGGCGAACTTGACCATGGAAACTCTAACAGTTCTTGAACATGCTAAAGTTGTAGAGATTCGTTTGTCAGCAGATACTGAAATAATCTGATTTTTTTTTTTTTTTTTTGACAAAGCAAGACACTATCATTTACAATTGTGTTGTTGGTGGGGGAGTTAGCGAAGTTACTATTCTTAAGACTGCCAGGGAGAGGAAAAATGATAGTGAGCAGATAGACAAGATCCTCCCTCTCATGGATTTTAGTCAGCTGGGCGGTCAGACTTGACACAAATATTATACAACTGTGTGGAAAGCTTGCGCTAAGACCAAAGTGCAGAAGACTGAGCCAAACGAGGAAAACATGAAAGCCCTAATTTAGACTGGAGGCAGGGGATCAGAGAGCTCTATCAGAAAACACACAAAAAGTGTTTTGTTTCCCAGGATGCAAGGTGCCAAACTCCAAAACCCCATGAGGTGCCGCCGCCGTGGCGCCCGATTGTCCCGTCAGGGGCCGGTGCGACTTTGCCCCGCTTTTTCGGGGGGAGGGGAGAATCACCGACTTGATTAAACCACATGGTTGTGGCGCGAGGTAAGTTTTCATCACGCGAACTTTCTGGAGTTTTTCTAGCGTCTTCCTTCCCAGCATCTTTCTGTCAGTTCTTCGCCCCACTGTGAAAGTCTCCAGTAACGTCTGTCTACAGCCGGAGCCTGATTTTCAGTTTTTCTCTTCTGGAGCCCCTCATCCTGCTACTTGACGGAGGCGGTTCCCCGCATGGCTCGTGGCCCCGCCATTTCACTTGGCCACACGG